ATAATTTTCGTATTTCTTCAATTTATCAATCAAAATCAGCCGAAACCCAAACAAAATTGGTATGACTGAATAGGTATTTTCAATACCTTTCAAACGAGCTGTCACTTGCCATAGGGTCCCATTTAAAATTTTTGGTCACAGTGGCCTTGTGACGTCATTTATGACTATTGCGTCACCTGTTATGACCAGTTAAGAAGCCTACATCCGTTTATTTCCACCCTCCAAATTTCATTATTATAAGTATACCCGTTCAAAAGATACGAGGGGGGGAGGGGACTTTTGACTAGCACTGTATATTTTACTTATGAACTGAGGTAAGTATCTGGCTTGATTACAAATAATTCATCTATTTCTGCATCTTTTCTGAACCAAAATACTAGTACTTTGAAAAAGTACACCCATAAGCAAAAGAATTACAGTCCGCTGTTGAAAAGTTTTGGAATGGTTTTCTATTTTAGGAGTGATCCAGGTAATGCTTGAACACATTCTTCATATATTTGTAACGTGGTTTCTCTTCACGTTGCTATTCTTTCTTCAGGTAGCTCGGTTGGAGAAAATATGTCCAGGGTTCAACAAGCAAAAAGGCACGTCAGATGGTACAAAATAAAACTTTTTTTTCGAGAACATTCCACAAAGAAATCGGGGATCATATGTGCAAAGATTAAGAACTCTATTCACTAGTGTTGTAGTCAATTTCCGGAAAGAAACGGGAGAGTAGTCGCCTTCGACAAGGTTCTGAGGCCTACAACAGGCCTATACTCGAACACTGTCGATTAATATCGGTGGAGTAATATAGGTGGAGTCCGGTAAATGTGGGAAAAATTTTTATGAGGTCCAGAAAAACAACCGATAAAAATTAAGTGCTATGTATTATTTTGGTTTCAAATCAAATTCTGAATTATAAAACACAAGACTTGAAATCAATGTGAGAAATTACAACGACGGTCTTAGCCAGTTTTTTATAGTTTGGTTCTCGAGAGGAACAACAAATTCGAAGTGTGTCTTCTAGGTGGGCGTTTGTTAACCTCGAACGATATTTGTTTTTCAAAAAAATTAATCTTTGAGAAAGATGTTTCACATACATATGTCGAGCCAAACATAGTGGCCAAATTTAAAGCTAGTTTCTTGCAATTTTCATATTTTTCTGGAACAAGTTTGGTCCAAAATTCTTCAGAGGATACCGTTTTATGTATTTGCAAAGACACATCTTCTTGCAAATCAATTATCTCTATTTGAAGTGATGCCTTTGGCAGCCACCTCTGTCCATTCTGCTGCTACATCAACTTCAAATGACGATTTAAGAAACGGAGAAAGCCTGCCCATCTCTTCAAAGTCTTGGAATCTTAAGTATAGTATATACAAAGTTAATATCGAATGGCATAAAACTAAATAGTTACCGAACGTCGGTAGTTTGTTTGTATGGCATTGGTAGCTCTAGGAAGTGGTTATTTTTTAATATTTGACATATCTGACATAGTACTATACCGCTTGGTTGATTTGAGAAGCGCTTTTACGTTGCATTCAGCGCACTGCTTTCCGATTTTTCAGCCTGAATGTAGCCATTTAATGGAGATGGTTTTCAAATTATTTCAGTATTGAACAGATGTGACATCTTCAACAACATTTCAAAGGAAAAACATACAAACTCAAATAATTTCACGCCAAAATGGGATTAGGTATAGTCCATTTCGTTTCAAGGTTATTGCAAATTTTAAATGTTGAATTTTGTTTTTGTCTGTCAACATATTTTATTCGTCTGTTGACATTTTTTTTGAAGTAGCATAACCATCATAGTTAGCCTGTAGGATATAGGGCAAACAATAATCCATTTTCCATTCAAAAACTGTCATCTGTTAACATAATTATTGATTAATATATATGTTGAAATAAGCTATTATTTAAATTTGAAACCAGTGATATTTTTGCATTAAAATGCCTAGTTATGAAATACATTGTCTTAGCATAAATAACAAATTGAGCGTCATATCGAGAGCTGAATTCACCCGTTCTTTTTCAAATATCGATCAAAACTTAATAACCATACCTCACAAAAACGTGAATTTATTCATTCAAGAGTTGCTCATGAAGACCGTTGGAAAGTGGAATTCACTTCTTTGATATGATAGTGAGCTTTAATAATTTTATTGTGAGAGGACCTCGCACAATCCTTATGGAAAACGGCTTTTGGTGAATTCTGCTGATTTTTTTGGTATGATGAACTTTTCAATGTACTGATTAAAAGTTTCCACGGGCACAACAAAAAATAATGGCTTTATACGTTACCCTGTATGGTCTGCAATTATTAGCAAACGGTGCTGTAAAGACACAAGACCCATGAAAGAATTGCTAAGGCGCATGAGGGGCATGAAGTTGCAAAATAATACGACCTATTCCTCCCGTTTTACTACCAAATTCCTCATTTTGCCGACTTTCAGCGATTTTTTCTCAAAAACTGTCCATTATTTTTCGTTGTGCCCGCGGAGACTTTTGATCAGGACATTGAAAAGTTCATCATACCAAAAAATCAGCAGAATTCACATTTTCCATAAAGTTTGTGCGTGGTCCTTTAAAGCATTGATATCATTAACTCAAAATATGAGCTCTTGAATATTGGCTTTCTATGTCAAATATTTCTGCTCATAAAAAAAATTTCGAAGAGCTCTAGTACTCGCATTTCATGTAACTGCCTTATTCTTGTTGTATCTTACTGAAACAGTATTTTTCCTTTCTCCAAAATACTCGAACATTCTTTTATAGCTAATACCAAAATAATGTATATTTTTTATCTTTTATGTAGTCATAATAAAAGTATACCCTTGAAAACTTGTATCCATCATTGAGTCAATTTTTATTTTACACGCAGGTAGCTGCAGCCGCCTCCGTGGTAATGTTAGGACATTCTAGCAATTATAGGACTCCTAACTGGAACCACAAAAGTGCGGTAGACTCTTGTTGGTGAGTCCGTTTACTTGTGCACTTTTCCCGTTTTCGGCAACCAAGTGTTGTCCATCCTTGCACTTGGCTACACCGTGGTGATGAGGCAATAGCCAGAAACACGTGTCCGCAATGTGCAGCATCATTTTCTAGAGTCCTGTTTCGTCCAATCCCTTCCTGTTTTGATTTTAGTCATAAACACTCAGCAAAACCCCTTTTTTTATAGGTTAATATCCTGGACCAGGAAGTCGCGCAGATAGCTGCAGGTACCTCCGTGGTTATGTTATGACATCCTAGCAATTCTAAGACTCCTTACTGGAACCACAAATGTTCGGTAGACTCCTGTTGGTGATTCCGTTCGCTTGTGCACTTTTCTCGTTTTCGGCAACCAAGTGTTGCCCAATCTTGCACTTGGCTACACCGTGCCGATGAGGCAATAACCAGAAACACGTGTCCGCAATGTGCAGCATCATTTTCTAGAGTCCTGTTTCGTCCAATCCCTTCCTGTTTTGATTTTAGTCATAAACACTCAGCAAAACCCCTTTTTTTATAGGTTA